TGGGTAAGTGTCAGGCTGAGAATTGAGTTTGGGGTTAGGGCTTGTGTAAAGTTTAAGGGTTCCTGTTAGAGCTAGGGTTTGGAGTGAGATTTGGGTTTACGATTAGTGTTAAGGTTGAAGTTAGTGTGAGGGTAGGGTTACGGCCAAGGTAGGGTTTTTGCCCGGATCGCCAAAACTGCCCAGGGCTTCGGTCGGTTGTAATCCAGTCTGTGGAACAGTCGAGACATCTTTAGGTAACGGTAGGGTGTGGGACTCCACTTAACTGTCGGTAGACTGAAGATCATGTCATACGGAACGCTAAGAAACCTGACAACAGAGCGCGACAGCCAAGCAGGCCAGCAAAGCGGGTCGGATTTCGTCATCCGTGTGGACTCTCGGGCAATTTGGCTCATCGCTATTGACACCAGGAACAGTGGTCAACCGCGCGCTGTCCTCGCGGCTAACTACTTTGCCCAGACAAAGTCTCAGCGCCAAATATTGTGATGGGAGGTCGTTCCGTTTGTTGATTGAGTGAGAATCAGAAGACCATGACTCGAGCAGTTCACGATTCACGCGGTTGTCCTCTCTAGAAATAATTTCTGCTTCGCCAAACTTGAATGCGTGCTTAAGACCCGTTGAATGAGCCGCGACTTGAGAGTTGGCATCGTTCTTACTCACTGCTGTCGCGCGCTCGGTCAACCGCGTCCGGCGTTGTCTTCCAGCTTCTCTGGCATAGTTGCTTTACCTGCAACTGCAACGGACCCGGTCAACGACTCCAGATGTTTCCTGCCGTGGTCGTGGGGTTTTCGGCCTCAAGATCTGACGGCTTATGGTTGCCTCCGGTCTGTGTGCAGCTCAAATTCCAAGATAGGCATTGAGACGTCTGAATGCTTCCGAGACATTTTTCACGTATGAGACAGCTCGCCAAAATTTGGGGCCATCTGGATTTTGCCTCCCGCCTCGTTTATGCACGCACTGGTTGACGAAGTTGCGCGGGTAACCATTCACGCTAAACACCTATCGAAGGTATTGTAACTCAGCAACCGTGTTTTCCGGTTCGCTGCAATGTGTCTCCACCCGCTGGTAGAGCGTTTGTGACTGTTTAGGTGATTGCTGTTGTAACTCGGAACTTGCGTCGTATTTGTCACTTTCCTGAATACTTTAGTATTTAAGCCAGCACAATCCTTGCGGCAGACAAGGACATCAAGAAAGGCCAGCTGGTTGTTTTCCTCTTCCTCCATCGTACACTGAATGCCCGGGAAGACGGCGTTGAGGTTTTCTTTGAATTACAGCACCTGATCCCGTTCGATGACGACGAAGGTATCCTCCACATACCGAACTCAGAATTTCGGTTTGTGGTGTCGGAAAACCAGCGACTCCAACCGTTGTAGGACCGCTTCGACTATGATGATGATGGATTTGAGTGAGAATCCGAAATGTCAGGCTACCTCCTGGAACTCTCCTCTTCGCTTCTATTAGCAAAATACATTTTCTTCAGCAAAATGTGTCAGTAGTTTTGCATGGAATACGCAGCCAATATCCACCTTCAACAATGACATTATAAGTTGCTTTGTATGTTTAGTTTGAGCATTATTGAAAAACCGAAATTTCGTCTCCATTGAAACCAAGGTCAACGAAGTGATAACATTTGCCTAAATTGGAAGCCAAGACGTGAGTCCGTTATTTACTAGCAAGCCAAGTTTGGAGTGGTCACCCACACCTACGAAACGTGTCATGAGTTTAACTTCACAGCCACCAAATTAATCGCCCACGCTGAAAAACAAAACAGGCCGAGAGCTTATTGAAGCCGAGACCTCGGATGAGAACTCAGCCAATCGATTCATCAACCTGTCTCCGGCGTACAGGGCCCTACGCAATCACCTCCAGTCTTACGCCGTTGGTCGATGATTGGCCTACGTGCCCTATAACGGTCGCTTCTTCCGTTGCTGCTACTATGCTTAACGATGAACTCCTGCACAAATTCGAAAGTTCAGGCCAATAAACAAAATGCTCCTGTGATCGACCCCTCTTCTTCTTCTTCTTTTTATTCTGCTTCTTCTTCTTTTTCTTTTTCTTCTTCTGAACGCATCCGGACTCTCATTTATCAATTCAAATCTACCAAAGACAGCTCACATTCGACAGCGCATATAGTTTGGGGAAAGTAAAGACTGTCAACACGGACGAATAAGCGAGCTACAGGTATCAATTACTCCTATCTGCTGCTGCCCTGGCGATGCGTCCTAGTGTGAATCGAAAGGGTGAGAGTAAAGTTCGTGCTTCGGTGACCCTGCCCCTCAGCGTCAAATAAAGACCACTCATTTAATTTAAGTAGCACTTTGTTCTCCTATTTATATTTTGCTTCCTGTTGTTGCCGACCTACGATTTTCCAAAAAAAAAGAAGCTATGTTCCGTGAGGTGGGCTAGTGGTCGAATATAATTCCTATAAGACTTTGAACGGCCGCTTCCATATACGTGTGATTATTTAGCGAAAGCGAAGACTAAATTTGGGCCCATGTCTAGCTTTTGCGGCATGTTTTATTTAACGCAACCTTCTTTGAGATTGTTTTATGGCTGAAAACCGTCCCCGCTAAGTTAAGCCATCCTATGTAAGCGACCGCATGTTGTCCTTTGCTTAACACTCCGAAATGAAGGACGAACTCAGTAAGGCGCACTCTTCCAAAGTACTTTCATGCGTGACGAATATGCCTTGAAGATTGGCACTTAAAGGGAAAGTTTACGTTTGAAGACTTTTCTGACAATACTTCCCTCTACTCACTCTAAAGCTTTCAATAATGTGTTCTGCTCCCACTTGACGTTAAGATTTCAAAACACCGGATATGCAGCCGATATTGTGCCATTAGTACACGCTTTCACAACTTGGTGCGGACAAATGCTAGTGATCTCAAGGCATCATCTCAGATGTGGACTGGCTACCATGCTCGTTTGTCGTATTAAGAACTCATCGTTTTGTAAATAAGGTCTCCTTTAAGGCTGATATAGTACCTGACCTATTTTAAGAAATTGCGGTCGAAATACTAAAAAAGGTTAAGATTACAAAGGATTACTTCGGCAGGGTTGCAATACTAATTGCCGTGCAACATAATTCCAAGATATTTCTGTTCCGTCAGAATGCCGGGTCTGAAGGAGCTTTTGTTCTGGGACAAGGAACGCACACCCAGTGTACCTGAATACAAAGTAGTTCTAATTTTCTTCGCGTAGATATTTTGATACCCCATAAACTCAATCCTATTTTATATGTAGCACGCTGGAAAGTATTTCTTCTTCTCACGAATGGAAGAAAATACGCACATCTCAGGTTCTTGTTTAAAAGAAGACGAAGGCACGATCACTGGGACGGTAGATTTATTGGTCTTAGCTGTCGAACTCGAACTGGAGTTCATCATCAGAGACTGCAAGAGTGCAGCAACGTGTGAACATTTATATCGCAGTTCCCTGCGGGGGTGGCTACGTCCGTGGCTAGCTCTGGTT